CGATGACGACGATGATGATGATGATGATGATGATGATGATGATGATGCTGATGATGATGATGATGATGATAAAGACGATGATGAGGAGGACGATGATGATGATGACGATGACGATGACGATGATGAAGAGGAAGAGGAAGAGGAAGAGGAAGATGAGGATGATGATGATGACGAGATCATGCTTGTGATGGTGATGATGATGCTGCTCATGATGATGATGATGATGATGATGATGATGATGATGATGATGATGATGATGATGATGAAGAAGAGGATGATAATGATGGTGATGGTGATGCTACTCACGATGAAAATGAGGATGCTGATACTGCTGCTGCTGCTGCTGCTGATGATGATGATGATGATGATGGTGGTGGTGGTGGTGGTGGTGGTGGTGATTATGATAATGATGACGACGACGGTGACTGTGATGATGAGTAGGAGGAGGAGGCGGAGGAGGATGACGAAACGACCGATGACAAAAAGGAAGAAGGGACGAAGAGGGGCAGAAAGAGAAGCAGGACGGGGGGTCCGATACATGCCCGAGGACGAGGGTGGGGGAGAGGGAGCAAGGGGGTGCAGGATGATAGGGAGGAACAAGGGGGCGTCGTCCAAATAAGGAGGACTCCTGGCACCTGCTACAGGCGACATGGCACCTGAGCCCCAGAGTCGTGGTCCATGATGTTTGTGAGCCGATCCATACAGAGATGGCCGCATGATGACTGACGATGGCCCGAGCGCCACTCCCCTGCATCATGGCCGACTCCGGGAACTTCTGGATCCCGAAATGTTTCGGCTACACGCAAGAGTGACCCTGGGTAAGGGTGACCTTTGGCGCGCGGCTTTTGGGGACCGCGGGGGGGGACAAAAAACAAGCGCGCGAGCCGCTGCTACCGCTTCTCGTTCGGCCATCTGGGGGCCCATCTGTGCCCGCACCAAAGGTCACTCCGGCGAAAGGTCACTCTTACTCCTAGTCGAAAGTTGACGTCCCACTCGTACTTCCGCCGCTTCCCGCCAGCCTCCGGTGCCCGAGTCCAACGCAACCCTCACACCATGCCAGCAGAACCGTATCTGATCACGGTCACAGGGGCGCGGGAGGAGAGGGGGCAGCAGGACGATGAGGAGGTGCGGGAGGAGGAGGAGGAGGAGGAGGAGGAGGAGGAGGAGGAGGAGAGGAGGAGGAGGAGGAGGAGGAGGAGGAGGATGCCAAGAAGGAGGAGGAGGAATAGGAGTAGGAGGAGGAAAAGGAGGGAAAGGAGGGAAAGGACAAGGATGGGGAGGAGGAGGAGGAAGAGGAGGTGGAGGAGGAGTATGAGGAGCAGGATGAGGAGGAGGAGGAGGAGGAGAAGAAGAAGAAACAGAAGTAGAAGGGATGAGGAGAAGGAGGATTGGAGAAGGAGGAGGACGAGCTTTGCACCGCAGACGCACTCAGGCTCTGGTGATCAGCCCGTGATGGCGCGCCGCCCGCTCTCGGGCACACCCCCAATCTTGGAGAGGAGGCAGCGAGGCAACGAAAAACAAATCCAATGAAGGGGAACTGGAACACACAAATAAATACACACAAATAAAAAGATTCCCCATATTTTCCCATATTTTCTGGATTTTTGTCTCCCCGCCCAATTCCCATATTTTCCCATATTTTCCTGGCACTCGACGATTAATTGTGTCTGTGTGTTTCTTTCCCTCCTGATCCAAGGCAAGAGGAGCGGCAGGGGAGGCGGCGAGGTACTCGGTTGGACGACTGCTTGACCCCCTGGCGCGCAAGCGACAGGACGCGTGGCCCCGCCAAGCCACCAGCGAGACCTGCCGACGTCCCGCACCCAGGCAGAGGGCCCACCCAACCACCGCCACCACCAGCCGCAGGGGCACAGCGGAACAGCAGCCGAAGGGACACTCGGGGGAGGGAACGCGCAACAGCAGCAGCGGAGAAGCAGGGGAAGCGAGGAAGCCACACGAGGGGAACCGCCACGGGAGAGGGACACCCCCGGAGAAGCACGAGATCCGACCCGCCGCACGCCCCCCCCCCCAGTCTGCGGAGCCTCGCTCTTCGAGGAGCGCACGCGGCGAGCGGCGGCCGGCAGAGAGGAGAAGAAAAATATCCTTGCACTTCCACGGGAGCCTCGCAGGCGGGCGGTGGCAACCAAGCAGGGTGGGAGGAAGCACCGCGCGGGCGGACCGGGTGCCAGCCCGACGGAGGGCACCGCCCTCGTGGCCACGCGCCCTGCAGCGTGCGGCGCCGAGGGTTCGCGTGCAGGCAGCAGCGCGGGGGAGCGGGCGCGGCGGAGCCGGGGCGGGGAGCGGAGAGCCAGGTTCTCCCCCCCCCCCTCTGGTGGGCGGCGGAGGCAGCAAGGAGAGGCAGCAGGAAACGACAGAGGCATCGAGAGAGGCGGCAACAAGACAAGGGGTGAGATGGAGAGAGAGAGAGAGAGAGCAACGGAGAGACGATCACTGCTGCTCGGCCAACTACGATCCGTCATGAGAGGCTTCAGGGTCACGACGCCTGCCCGCCATCGCCCGGAGCACCGCGCGCAACGCACGATCTTCCGCGGCAGAGCGCGCCTGATCAGCCCGGCGAACCAACAAACGATGGCACACTTCCCAAACCGAGAGTGCAAGCCCGCTATGAAGACGCCAGAGAGACATCCCGACTTCCAGCACGCGGCCGCTCCACCTATCATCTGTCCTGCCAAAACGCGAACTCACCAGCATGGAGGAACAACACTTCCATGTCTGACATTCGGAAAAAAAACACTAGGGCTTCTACTTCACGTTTGTTGACATCCCTGACACAATTCGAACGAGGCTCGGGCCAAACAAAAAAGTTCTGAATACAAAAGTGCACAATAGCTACCACTACCACAAGCATGACAGGGAAAGGGAGACTCTGTGCCCCAACCCGCTAAGACCACCATAGGCGCACAGCAATCCATGGTGCAGGGGGAAGAGGACCCAGCAGTGAGAGACGGAGGAGCGGCCGTCACCTTAGGGGCAACGTCAGTTTTCACATCTACGCAGCGCGCGGCCTCTCGCCGCCCACGAGACAGCGAGCCAGCCTGAGTGAACGGCGGACGGCGGGGACAGCAGCGGCGTTCTTGCTACAGGTGGCGCGGACCGATGAGGAGGAGGGGGAGGAGGTGGAGGAGGAGGAGGAGGAGGAGGAGGAGGAGGAGGAGGAGGGGGGGGGGGCAGGGAGGAGGAGGAGGAGGAGGAGGAGGAGGAGGAGGAGGAGGAGGAGGAGGAGGTGGCGCGGCAGCAGGAGGATGGGCATGAGCGGGGCGCGTTGCGGCAAGCATGCCGCAGGCCGCCTGGGCGCGTGCCGCGCACGACTGCCGACTGCCCGCCGCCGCCTCCCCCCCGCCGCGGTCTCTGCCGAGCTGGCGGAGGAGCGCAGGAGCAGGAATTCAGACGCGGCAGCTGCACACCAAAGTGGGACAAAAAAGGAAAAGCGACCCCAGCACCACCAGGGACCACCAGCGGGAGGAGCCATGGGGGCTCCCCCTGGTGGTCTGGTCCCCCCCCCTCTCGCTGGAGACCTCCCCCATCCCCGCCTCGGGGGGCCGTCGTGGACCTCCTCGCTGTAAGTGGCCCCCCTGGTGGTGGTGGTGTCACCCCTCCTCCCCCCGACCTGAAACAAAGCCAGGACAAGGACAACATCGAACAAGCATGCACCACGGTTCTCAGATGTCCGGCGGCTCTGGAGGATGCAGGCGGCGCCGCGGCCGCTCCCAGAGCGTCCCGGCACGCTCCGAGAGCGCTCCGCAGCGCTCGGGGTCTGGGCCCGGGCCTGTCCTCCTCCTCCTCCTCCTCCTCCTCCTCCTCCCCTCCTCCTCCTCCTCCTCCTCTTCCTCCTCTCCTCCTCCCTCCTCCTCCTCCTCCTCCTCCTCCTCCTCCTCCTCCTCCTTTTCCTCCTCCTCCTTTTCCTCCTCCTCCGTGCAGGATGCTTATCCCTGTCCTGGGCCTGCTCGAACACCACCGCTTCGTCGCACGAGGGTTGCTCCGACGCCGGGGCTCCAGCGGGCTTTTTGGCCGCGTGTTGGCGCCCGGGGGCGCGCTTCGGGCCCCAAGGGGGGAGCCGCCAGAGGCAGGCAAGATTAAGCCGCACCCCAGGAGGGACCCCCGGGGAGCGGTCCGGGCACAGACTCTGGTCGTCGTGGTGACCGTCGTCGTCCTCGTGGCCGTCGTGGTCGTGGTGGTTGGTGGTCGCCGTGGTCGTCGTGGTTCCTGCTCAGGGCCGTCCTGGGCCTTAGGTCGGTGCATCCAGCCGCAGACCTGAACCCTCCTGCATCGCAGTCGGGGTGCGCTCGCTGTTGCTTGTTTCGGATGTCTTGCTGCTGTCTTGTGTTGGACGTCTTGTTTCGCAGTCTCGATGCGCTTTTGCTTGCTGTCCTGCCACCCGCGATGCAGTGCTTGCTCTTCGCCGCGACGCGCTGGAGTTCCACTGGCCGGGTCTGGGCGGCTTCTATCCTTTGGGGGCTCTCCTTAGCCTCGACCCGCAGGGTCTATGCGCCATCCTGGGACCCAGGAAGTCCCTGGCCAGGGATGGTGGCGGTGTGCAGCTGGTTCCCTGCGGGTGGAAGAGCCAGAGGCCAAGCGACGCCGCTTCTAGAGGAACCAAAAGCGGCATACTGCGAGGCTATTGGAGAAAGGACCATTGGATAAGGAATCGAGGGTCTGAAAGCTGGTGTAACTCAATCGGGGATTGACCATAGATATCACCGCCGCCCTCGTCAGATAAGGAATTAACTCAGAAACTTTCGACAGTCCGCGTGGATCTCTTGGATCTGCGCTGGACCCCCTCTTGGGCTGCGAGAGGATGTTTACAGCCAGACCTGGGCCAGAAGAACCCCCCTCAAAAACACGAGACCCTCCGCCGGCCAAAACACAGAGAACATCCGAGGGTACCCTCTCGCAGGATGCAGATGATCGTCCAACAAGGACGAAGAACGTCAGGGGATCTCCCCGAGCCGACCTCGATCTCCTATCTCGGTCCGACTGGATGCTTATGCCGTTTTTGGTTCTCCGCGCCTCCGAGAGGACGGGCCAGGCGGCGAGAGCGCCCCTCGGCGCCTCACCCCGTGCCGACCGACGAGGGGAGCATGCGCTCCGGAAGAGTGGCCGGAAGATCCTGTCGGCGGCGAGCGGGGGGCGGAAGGGGGAAGAAGAAGGCGCTCTCGGAAGGCAGCGGGGCTCCTCAGAAGCCCTCCGACGTTCTGAGAACTGCTCCGCGCCTCCGGGGAAGGCTCCGAGCGCTTCTCAGAAGGCAGGGGAGCTTGCGAGCCTCCCGAGAAGGCCCGCGCCCTCTCACGTACCCCCTGGGCTTGCCGCCGATCCTGGCCGTCGAGCTTCATCTTGATGAAGTGCATGGCCAGCGAGTACTCGTAGAGCGTGAGCATCCCGTCCTTCCGAGGGAAATCCTGGAGGTCTCGCTCGGCAGCTTGAGGCCGCTCCAGTGTACGTCGGATTCACGTCGAACTTACGTCGGAACCTCTCTCCGCGCGAACGTCGTCCCATATCTGACGGGAAGGTCGTGCGGGCTGGATACTACAGCTATTGCGCGCCGCGCGAGGCCTCCAGGATTTCCATCATAGCCGTCCTTATCCGTGTCGGCCAGCGTCCACACCTTGTGCAATATGTTCGAGGGCAGCTTGCTCTCGACCAGCTTCGTCTTTGCCCTCTGCCCAGACACCTTCCCCGCCGCGTTGGGGCCGAGCTGCACAAAGTCCGCCTTGTACTCCTCGGGATTAGGGGGTACCAGCCACTGCGTTTGGTAGACGCTGGTTTCCGTCTGGCCGTTCACCTTCATTACGGCAAAAGGCGAAGCCTCCGGACCGACCTGGTTCAACACAGCATCCGAAACCTGCGACACCTCCTCCGGAATCAGCTGGAGGAGTTTCGGGATCTCGTGGCTAAGCATCAGGTCCAGCGTGTCGATCTTCCGTTTGTCCACCTTGGCGAATTTGGAGAAGTCTACAGAGGCAAGCTTCTCCTGCATCATTCGCGGATCTGGAAAGTCTCCCAGAGGCAACCCCCTCTCCTTGGCAATCTCTTGGTAGTGCTGCGTCAGATTCGCTATCAACTTCTCCTTCTCCTTGGACTTCCCAAACATAGTCGGCATCTTCCGTTTCAAGTAGTCTATGATGTAAGCGTGCACTTTGGCCAACCGTGCTCTCTTGATTAGGTCATTCAATTTCCTCACGGCAGCGCCGCGGGGAAGCTTGGCCAAGGCCGTGTACAACTCGTTTTCCTCCGACTCGAAGAGCCTGCGCTGCTCGTCGTTGGTGAGGGGCTCGTCCCAGAACGATCCGATGTACACGCGGGACACCTCTGGAGTATCGATCACCTTTTAAGATGAAGCCAGGACGAGGATTCGAGTGAGGATAAATCGAGAATCTCTGAAATGTGGCGGTTTGGGAGGATGTCTCGAGCGCCGCGGCCTTCTCAGTACGTTCCAGAATGCTCTGGAACGGATTTATCCTCGTCCAAGTCCCGTCCGACCTTGCCCAGTGACCACATCATGGCACCGTACACTCGCATAAGCTGCGGCGTCGTGACGCGGTCGGCCTTGTTGAGAACCATGTGAATCTTGTGGTCGTTGCCCTTGATGGCCAGAAGCACGCGGCGGAACTCGTCTGAAATGTCCAGCTTGGAAACGTCGAAGAGAACGAGTATCATGTCAACCCTGTCTGCGAACCACTTTGTGACGGCCTCGAACTCATAGCCCCGGTTCACCCGCTGCTTCTCGCCCGCCAAGACCCCTGGCGAGTCTATCAGGCTGATGCCCTCCAACACAGCGCTGTTCAGCTTCGCAGCCTCGAAGCGGCTGAGGAAAGCATTACCGAAGTGGCTCAGCTGCGTGAACGGCATAGACTTGTCAACGACCAGCGCGTTGCCAGGGATGACCTGGTCGTGATCGCCGTGAACCACGGCCACGAACTTGTCCGTCGTGGGCTCGGGGCCGATACCGGGGAGCAGAACAAGTACACCCTACACCCTGGAGAGGGGAGTCGAGGACAGAGGCTAGAAGACCAGAGTCTGTCAACGCTCACGGCCCGACTCGGGCCTCTAGGGGGCCCTCAAGGAAGAGCCCTGGCGCCAAGACACCCATCGGCTCGAACGAACATATCAAGGACATCAGCCTCGATCCTCTTGGGTGCCTCCTGGGGCCCGCTTCAGGGGGTTCCAAGGGCGCCGTCGAAGAACGACTCTCGGGTGCGCCAGAGAGGGGGGCCAGGAAGGCGGGGGGCACGCACCATGAGGCATGAAGGGCGGCGAGCGGGCGTGCTGAAGGAGCAACTGAGGGGGGGGCACCACACCTGGGAGATATCATGGCCCCAGCCGTGATATCAACACACCCACACACACAGTTTACCAGCCTGGAACATATGCCTATCCCCATGCTGGGCGTCGCCCCATCACGATGCCAATCTTAGGGATTCCCTCAGCTTTTGAGGGCGCATCCCGGAGATTGCCATCGCCTTTCGGCGTGTCGATCTTAGGGATAGGGACAAGTTCGAGACTGGTGAACAGTCCCCAGCCCCCTCCTTCGACGCCCGCGAGACACGCGGGGCGAAAGCGCCACGCCCCGGCGAGGGGGCACCGCGAGGCCCCGAGGGCCGATGCCTCTCGAGCGAAGGCCTGGCCGCGGGACGCCCGAGTGCGCAGCGAGGCGGGGCGCCGCGGCGGGCAGCCCCGCGCCGTGAGCCGCACCGGGAGCGCAAAAATGGGGCTCCAAACTTCGGACGGGGCGGATGCGGCCCGGAGTCACGCCGCACTGCACCGGGAGGAGCGGGACTAGGCCGGGTCGGGCGGGAGTAGCCCGGGTTCAGCGGGAGCAGACCAGATCAGGCAAGCTTCCGACCAGGGATCTGCCAGCGCCGAGTCTGAGTTTCACCTCCGAGGCGCTGCATCCTATCAGCTGGGCCAGGTGGGCACCAGCTATACACCTACATCGATCCTGGCAACGCTCACCCTGGGCCAAGGATGGGACTGGCCAGGATCGGTGTAAGTACATAGTTGGAGCCCTACGATGAGTTGCCTACTGCCTCGACCAGAACCTGGACGGTCAGCAAAGGACACGCGAAGCGCGAGGCGCGGATCTCTGACCATCTGTGTACCGCCGCGGGTGGCCCAGGAGCAGGGGGCGGGGAGGGATTGATGGAGCCATGGGTATCGTTGAACCGATCCCCATCCTCGCTGGCATGCATCGGGCTCCACTGGCCGAGAGGACCCCTAAATGGGGGTATAGGCTGCTCCAGATTCGAGAGGCTCCCAAACTGGGGTGGTGGCGTGGTGGGGCTGGGACACTTTGGCCCCGCGGGGATGGGACAGGTTGGAGCCAGGGCCGCCCTCGGAGGCAGCACGCCCTGAAGCCGACCGGGCCGAACGCGGAAGCGAGGCCGGCCGAGGCTGGCAGGCCGCAGGCAGCCTGGAAGGGCGTGGCGACGCAGCAGTGGCACGACGACCGAGCGCAGTCAGACCGACAGAACGCAGCAGGCAGCGACGCAGCCGAGCCGACAGGACCGCGGGCTGCTCCAGGGGCACATGGAGAGCAAAAAAACACACACACCCCAGAATGAGCAAACCGACAAGCGAAGCCCTTTAGCAGACGCACCCGAAGGAAGGGATCGAACAGGACGGTGCTGCTTCGTGAACCCTCGGGGCCGATTGGCCTAAGCGCGCCCCGGAGCACCCCTATTCTGGGGGTGGGGGTGGCCCAAACCTCCCTCGAGCACGGACGGGCGCGCCCTCTCCTGCGCCCCGCATGCGGAGGCCCGGGTAGTCGCGCCCGAGGATGTGGCGGATGAAGGTGCTCTTGCCGGTGGAGTACTGGCCTATCAGGAGGACCACGGGCCGGCGGCGCGCGGGAGGTGGGCGGGGCTTCGCGAAGGGGGGCGACCTGCGGGCCGGGCCGAGGAGGAGGGCGCCTGGCAGCGCGCGGGGGGCCTGCGGGAGGGCTCCCTGCCGAGGCCTCCCCGCGTCGTGAAACGATCACGGGGGGAAGCTCTTGGCAAATGTTTCGGCCTCTGGGGGCCCTCGCCGGCTCTCCATCCTGATCGGGATGGAACGCAGGTCCCTGGGAATGGGTCGATTCCTCCGAGCGTCAACTTCGTCGAGAAACCAAACGTTGGGGCTCTACAGTCGGGCTGCTGAAATTAGGAACGATTAATCAGGAACGGAGCCCCTTATTGGCCCAAGAGCGCCAACGTGGACGAGGGGGGCTAGAGGAGCAGCCATGGAAGGACTTGAGGAACATCGAGCCTCTTCCGAACCCAATCTGTTCCTTGTGTCATCGTCTTGACTGAAAATAGGAGGCGGGGGGCGCTTCTCAGACACCCCTTGCCTTTTTTAGACGGACCCCCCCCTCTCGCGCCGCCCCCCTCGCGCGCGCCGCCACATGGGCCGCGAAGCGAAGTCCGCGTCCGTGAGCTCTGGTGAATAGAACCAGTGATAGTCGGTCTCCTTCTCGACCGGCAGGATCTTCTCACGGTATATCCTCTGAAGGCCCTCGGTGACGGTGCAGAAGGCCTTGCTCTCCTTAGACCGGTTCGCGTCGCCCTTGAGCCATCGCAGCATGACCCCGCGGCGAACGCCGCGCACTGCCCCCGACCTCGGAGGGCTCGCGCGGTTGGAGTCCACGGTCCTGATCCGATCTCGCCCCCAAACTGCAGCGGAGAACGGATGGGGGCTGGAGGCCTGGAAATGGGCACCAACACCAACACCAAGGGGTTTTCCTCCACAGGGGGAACATGATCCTAGATGTCGGTGTTGGTGGTAATACTTCGGCCACCTTGGAAGCCAGAATATTACCACCATCGCCGAGATCGGGATCTTCTTCCCTCGGTGGAGGCACACCGCCGAAATTGGTGTTGGTGTCAACCTCTAGGCCTGCGAGGGGGGGAGAGGGGGAGGAGGAGGAGACGACCAGGTGAGCGCACACTTAGAGCACTTGCGGGCCCTTCCTTCTTCTCCTGCGTCTATATTACCGTCTGTGTTCCTACTGAGCTCACCTAGGTCTAATTTGTCGGCCACAGCGCCGAAGTCGGTATCTTTTACTCTGCGGCCTTTTCTTACAAACCAGACACATCGCTTCAGCGGTACCGCATGCCCACCCTCGTGTTCAAACGGGCTTGAAGCACATACTCACCAGCCCACGCTGTCTTGCTATGACAGCACAGCGCAGGCTGGTGCGTGTCTGCTTCAAGACCGCTTGAACAACAGAATGGGCACGGGGTAAACCGTAGACGCAGAATCTCCCATCCAAGGACAATACGTGATTCACTGATGTGGCCGTCGGGGCCGACTCTCGCTGATAGTGCCGAGCGCGTTGGGATTACTCTACGAATCGACTTCTCGGTGACTGAACCACACTACGACCCCACCCACTATCACACAATGCACGTGCGCTTCACCACCATACCGTGGCGTTCTCTGGGGCCGTGCTGGAAGCTCCCGGGGGCCTGGAATACCGCTCGGAACGCTGAAAAGGGCCCGCCTGCCCCATGCACCAAAGTCGGGTGTGGAGGGGGTGGGGGCGTTGTGAAACAGTGGGGGCCCTGGGCCCTGGGGACCTGGTCGACGGTTATACGACACGCACGTGGTGAGAGGGTACCCACAGGCACAGCTCCCCAGACGCTCCCCCCTTGACCGCGTCCCGCATCCACGACACCACGGCTTCAACCTTGAGCTCCCTCTGGGCACCTCCCCTTGACCGCGTCTCGCGGGCGCGGGGGCCCATCGGGATACCACGACTTCAACCTTGAACGCACCCGGGCACCCCCCTTGGCCGTGTTTCGCCGCTGGGGGGGCCCCTCGGGATATCCCGGCTTCAACCTTGAACGCGCCCGGGCATTCTCCCCCCTTGACCGCGTGTCGCGGCCGGGGGGGCGCCTCGGCCCGCCGCCCAAAACCACGCTCCCCGTTCCTTGCCCCCGCCCCCAGGCTAGCGCGCCGACTCCTTCCTCCTGACCATCTTCCCTCCTCCTCCTCCTTCCCGTCGTTCTTTGTAATCCGTGCTCCTCCTGCTCCAGTTTTGGTCCTGCTGGTGATCCTGCTGCTCCTCCTCCTCCTCCTCCTCCTCCTCCTCCTCCTCCTCCTCCTCCTCCTCCTCCTCCCCCCTCCTCCTCTCCTCTCCTTCCTCCTCCTCCTCCTCCTCCTCCTCCTCCTCCTCTCTCCTCCTCCTGTCTTCATTCTCAGGCGCGTGCTTGCCATGACCGAGGTGAGCCCGACCGTGGAGATGAAGCCGCCCTGCGCAAAACAGGACAAACACACAGAAAACCGCAGGGAAATCTCGAACTTCCAACTGTGCTCCCCCATCGATGGCGGAGGAGGCGGAAGGGGCATGGGAAGGAGCGCGCGAGCACCGAGGACGGCCTCAGGAAGGCGCGGAAGATGGCCACGAGAACTCAGGGTTACCCACATGGGGCCGAAAAGGTCGAGGGCTAGCCTGGCAGAATCAGTCAAGAACCTTTGGACAGGGTGATTGAGGAGGTGGAGCTCGGAAGTGCGATGGAGGAGGTGTGAGGTTACAGTCGGGGCGTTGACCTAAGGAACCGTAAATAAGGAACGAGGCCCCTTTTTTCCATAAGTTCTACTTCTATTTCCCATGGAAAACCTCAGGAAAACCGATGGCAAGCTGTAAAAAAATCGAGGAACACCGAGCCACCCCCCAACGAAAAGGGTTCCTTCTTCGGCGCCCCGACTGTACAGACAGAAGCGGTAGGACTTGGGAAAACCACAGTAAAAAAAGGTGAGAAAGAGCGCAGGGGGGACCGTGAAAGAATCAGAAATTGCAAATCCCCCGCCCGGGAAGACTTCAGAATGGCGCGCACGGCAGCTACGAGGCTGACCCAGGGCAGCCTAAGGGGGCATGCCCGAAACCCTCAAAACCATGCAGACAGTATCTTGCGATGACTTTATGGGGCGCTCTTGGAGAGCTTTGGGAGGCTTCTGGGTGTGACCTCTTGGGCGCCTCTTGGGGCGTCTTGGGAGTCTCCTGGTGGCCTCTTGGGACTTCTTGGGGGGCCTCTTGGGCCGTCTCGGGGGCCTTTTGGGCCGACTTGACGCTCTCTCGGGTCGCATTGCCGCCGTCAAGGGGGTCTCTTGGTGCCGTCTTGGGGACCTCTTCGCCCGTCTTGGAGCATTGGATGGCGAAAAACACGATAACGCCAAAATCCGGGGAATCCGGAAGGGTGGCCTCCCAAAAAGAGCTGCGGACGCTCTGGGAAAAGCCCGCTACAAGGGATGAGAATCGGGAATCATGGAGGGTGTCCTGGACCGCAGCTGGGGGCATCGGTACTCTGGCATATGACATATACACATACATATATATATATATATATATAGCGAGAGAGAGAGAGAGAGAGAGACAGAGAGAGAGAGAGAGAAACACAAACATATGCACATGTATGCGTGGCTACATGAATTTCTCTGCAACTGCTGTGATACAAGACGGTGCTGCCACCATACGTGTATATTGCTGCACTGGCTCACAACTACCACACACAATTCTAGCACTCGATGCGCAACCCGATTGCTCGCCGCTAGAAAATGATTGCACTGCTTGTGTTTCTCCGATGCGTTTTAAGTATAATGCAGAGCGATGCTGCAAGTCGGGGGCGCGCAAACATGGATTAGCGACCCATGGATTTGGCGCGCGGTCGCCCAATCCATGGATCGGGGGAGGTGCCCTCCCCAGAATGCGGCCGGTGCCGCATCGCTCAGCGGCGGAAATCCGCCGCCCCCGTGATCCATGTTTGCGATCGCGTGAGCATTCTGTACCTCACAGACGGAAACATCATGGAAGACAGAAAACCGCAGAGATGGGGAACGTCTCTGATGACTGGTGGAGCAAATTCGAGGACCGGTGCTGGAGCCTACCGTGCGCGAGTTCGGGCATCGCTCGCCGTCTCTTCGCAATGCCCGAACCTTCAACGACCTGGTGTCACTCGAATCGCGGCCCCCCGGACATCTCGACCCCGTCCCCGGGGCCGGTGCTCAATCCTGCATGGCATGCTGCTGACGGCCCCGCGGCCCAGAATCGGCGGCCTCCGTACGACGCTTCGCGTGCGAGGAGCTCTGGCGCGAGTTTGGCCGCGTCGTCAGACGTCTTGGTGTGTTCCCCCTTCTCTCTCTCTCTCTCTCTCCGCCCTCCCTCCTTTGTCCCCGCACCACCGCCCGTCCTCGCTCTTTACCCCCCCCCCGAGTCGCTACTATGTCTGCCCCTCCTCCCTCCCTGCCCCTCTGGCTCCCCTGCCCGGCGTGCCATGTGCCCCCCTCGTCCCGGCCACGCCCTCCCCCATCCCCGTCCTGTTCCTTTTCCGCCCCTCTCCCCTTTGCCCTCTCCCTTCCTCCTCGTCCCCCCCTCCTCCCCTCCTCGCCCCTGCTCTTCCCTCTCCCCTGCCCCTCGCCACCGCCGTCGCAGTCGCCGCCGCCGCCGCCGTCTCCCGGCCATCCGGACGCGCGCTCGCAACGCTGCTGCCGCCGCCGGCGGCGCCCGCGTGGCATCGGGGCGAACTGCACGGCGGCGGCGCCGCCTCCCCGCGGCGCGCGCGCCCGCGGAGGCGCGGCATGCTGGGTCTGGGCCCCCGTCCCAGGATCCGTCCGCATACCTCTACGACCACCCTTTGGGGTGATAAGGAGGCCGCGGGGGACGGAGGGGGGCGACGGATGACAGCTGCAGTGGCGGTGACGGTGACGACGCTGGCGACGACGGTGTCGCTGCAAGACACCGAAACATCAGGAATACCAGAGGAGACGGGTGGCATGTATTTGCCCGCGCGCCCGTTCCTTTAGAAGACCAGGAAAAGAACACACAAGACCACACTGGCACCACGAGACACCACGATCGATCTCGCTATCGATCGCACTATCGATTTCACGATCGGTCTAGGTGGCGCTTATTTGCCTGGCCCATCTGTTCTTGGAAACATTATACAGGAATGCAGGACAAGATGTTTGGCTGAACTTCTCGAGCCCTCGAAGACGAGGCCTGTTCAACTTGGAGCTGGAGGCGCTGGGCCACAAGGAACTGGAGGAGGAGGAGAATTCTGCGGAGAGACTGAGCAAGCTGAGGACGGCGTTGGCGAAGATGAGGAGACGAAGAAGAAGAAGAAGATGGTGGTCGTGAAGTACCCGAACTCTGGAGCAGCTTCACTCGGAAACTGAAATCAAGCCCCAGCATCACGAACCGCTTGAGAAGGTTCGTGGCCAAGTGGATGTGGCCTGGCAGCCATGTCGGTGCCCAAGGCAACGATCGCCATCTCGACGGCGCAGTCGAAGATGAGGAGACAGAGGCTGACGATCAGAGCGGTCACGGGGAGGCGAGGAGACGAGGAGAAGCCGCGACCACCGCCTCTGAGTCAGATCTTCAGGCGGGGTGCAGACCCAGGAGCACGAGGAGGAGGAGAAAGACCAGGAGGGGGAGGAGGAGGAGGAGGAGGAGGAGGAGGAGGAGGAAGAGGAGGGGGAGGAGGAGGGGGAGGAGGAGGAGGAGGAGCAGGAGGAGGCAGGCGCAAAACGAAGGGGGAGTTTCTGGAGGTCGCGTAAGGGGTGTGATGTAAAAGGGTATGGCGCCAGTGCTGGAAAGTGCGGTGTGATCTACGATAGACGCAAGTACGTTGCATCCCGAGTTCGACAACGTTGGCTCTGCGCCGACCGCTTCCAACCAAGGACGTCAGAACTGTTGACTGCAACTCCCCCCAGACGACCGCCATCCGATGTGAACGGATGCACGGATGCCTGTTCCACGACGCCCTTACTAGAGGCCTCCCAGATGGGACCCGAGTAGATCGGGCCGACGGATCGCGCCGCATCGCTGCTGCATCCTCGATGTATCGGCCACGTCTGCGCTGCATCGCCGCCTTCGGCGCCTTCGGTGTGGAGGAAAGCTGGCTCCACACCGCGCCCCATCGCCGATGCATCGGCGATGCGGCGCGAACCTCCGACCGCATCTGCTCTGACACCGTCTGGGAGGCCTACGGTCAGAAACTATTGCCTAGAGTGCCGCCGCGGCGGCACTGGCGACGCGCTGTGCCTCGCGAGCAGATGGCGCTTCGCTCCGCCCCGCGGGGCGGGGGGCTGGGAAACGCCCACGCTGACGCCGGGGGACCGCGAGCTGCACAGCGTGTCGCGCCGAGGCGCGGTGCGCCAGAGCCCGCGGCGCGACACGCGGAGCCGGGGGTCCTGACCGTGCGCCGCCGCCGCTCTGGGCCTCGTCGGACCTGTCCACTGGCGTGGCCTGGGGCCCACTGGCCAATTTGCCCATGCTCCCTTCGGGCTTCCAGGGGCAGATTTCCACTACAGGGGTGGTGGGAACCGGGCCAGGGATAGGGAAAGGGATCGGTGAATCTCGGCTGCGCGCAAGAGTGACCCTGTAGGCAAGAGGGCCCGTCGGCGCGCGGCTTCACGGGGGACGCGGGGAGGCCAAACTCAAGTGCACAAGACGCTACTATCGCACAGCGTCCGGCGATCGGGGGACCCCATTGGGCCCGCACCACAGGTCACTCCGGCGAAAGGTCACTCGTGCGTGCAGTCGAGAATCACGATCTGCTGCGGCTCTCCTCCGCCCCCCGGCCCCTCTGCAGGGCCCCGGCGGCGGAGGAGCAGCGGACGAGGCGGCGGCGGCCGGCGGCGCCCTCCCGCTCGCGCACGCCCTCCCGGAGCCCCGCCCAGGCCGCGGCTCGGCGGCGGCGCTGGCCGCCCGGTGGGCGTCCGTGCGCCCTTCTGCGCGGGGGGGAGGGGCGGCCGCCGCCCCCGCCCCGGCCGCTGGCGCCGCTGACGCGGCCGTTGCCGCCGCTGCGGCCTCTGCCGCCGCCGCCGCGGCCGCCGCTGACGTCGCCGCCGAGGCAGAAGGCCTCGCCGAGGCAGCCCGCGACCTCACGGCCGCCGCCGTCCGCCCCGGGTGGGGGGGGTCATGGGCTCACGAGCGGCGAGCATACGGCAGGTGCGTGTCGCCACGACCCTGGCGGTGGGTGGCTGACACCGCGTGGATCGTTGCACCGGGAACGATCTGCGGCTTTTCGATCGCCGGACTGTTCCGTGTGTTGCCGGTTCCTGGGCCACTGGAGGCGTTCGACCTTGAACGCCTGCGGCGGGGCCGCTGCCACGCCAGCACGACACGAACCTACCGTATCAACATTCTCGCGGTCTGGATTCTGGGGCGCGATCCCGTGAATACGCGGCCGCATGGATAGGCAGGGGCGCGGGGCATCCGCGAAGACACTCCCCGTGTCCGTGAGATCGCGGCCAGGAGGCCGGGCCCGCACTATCCGTGGTCCGAGGCTAGGAGGTTCGGTCGACGCAGAGGGTGCCCATACGATGTGTGCAGAAGGTTTCAGGACTTCTTCGGAGGTGATGGGGATGAGCTCCGCCTCGTCGCAAGCGCTCTAGGGATACAGTCGGACCCAGGCCAGAGGAACATCCCTCAAGAGCATGGGCCCTTCCGCCGGCCAAAACACACAGAGAACGTCCGAGGTCGCCCTCCCCAGGATGCACAGGAAATTCCAGCAGACACGAAGAACCTCAGGGCACCCTCCCCGAACCGACCTCGATCTTATACTAGAGGAGCAGAAGCAACATAAACATGAACCGTCGGGGATCCGCGAGGAGTTCTTGGACCTGCGCTGGACCCCTCTCCCTGGCGCGCGGAGCGCGCCAGGGGCCAGGGGGGCCCCAGCGAAGATCGAGGAAATCCGCGCGGAGCGCCAACAATTTATATGTATGGCGTCTCTGATTCGTCAAGATCTTATGCCGCGGTCCGACGGTACCCAGATCGTCTTCAGCGGCCGCTCGGAGTCCAGAGCGAATTCGCCCGAAAAAACAGCCGGAGGACGGCCGGGGCCAGACACCAAAGAGCGGCGCTCCCCTGCGATTCTGACGCTCGCTATTCGGGGCCTCCTGGAGGCCTCTCGTCGCCACCGCCGGGTCCGCGTCGAACGACGGGTCGGGAGGGGCCCCAGGAGTTGTCCTCCTCCTCCTGCTTCTCCTCCTGCTCCTCCTCCTCCTCCTCCTTCCTCCCTCCTCCCTCCTCCCTCCTCCCTCCTCCCTCCTCCCTCCTCCCCCTCCCTCCTCCCTCCCTCCTCCCTCCCTCCTCCTCCTCCCTCCTCCTCCTCCCTCCTCCCTCCTCCCTCCTCCCTCCTCCTCCTCCCTCCTCCTCCTCCTCCCTCCCCCTCCTCCTCCTCCTCCCCCCCCTCCTCCCTCCTCCTCCTCCTCTGCTCCTCCTCCTCCTCCTCCTCCTCCTCCTCTTCCTCCTGGTTTTTCTCCTCCTCCTCCTCCTCCTCCTCCTCCTCCTCCTCCTCCTCCTCCTCCTCCTCCTCCTCCTCCCTCCTCCTCCTCTCCCCCTCCCTCCTCCTCCCCTCCATCCTTCCTCCTCCCTCCTCCCTCCTCCCTCCTTCCTCCCTCCCTCCTCTCTCCTCCCTCCTCCCTCCTCCCTCCTCCCCTCCTCCACCTCCTCCTCCTCCTCCTCCTCCACTCCCTTCTGGCCTCTCCTGCTCCTGCCGCCGCCCGATCCCCCTTCCCGCTCCGTCTGCCCCCCTCTTCGTGGGGGAAGAATGACGAGGGAGGAAGATGGGGAGGAGGATGAGGAGGAGGAGGAGGAGGAGGAGGAGGAGGGAGGAGGAAGAGGGGGAGGGGGACGAGGATGAAGAGGAGGCGAGGCGGGGGAGGGCCGAGGGGGAGGAGAAGCGAGAGGCGAGGAGAAGAAGGGGGGAGAGAGGAGTAACAAAACGCGGAGGGAGGGGATGAGAAGCCAGAGCGGGATGCGGAGCGGTGGCCAGCGCTGAGGGAGGGAACGATCGTGGCCTCCTCCTCCTCCTCCTCATCTTCCTCCCTCGTCATTCTTCCTCCCACTCATTGGTTGTTGGGATCATCCGAACTCCATGAGCTGGATTCGGATTCGGATTTTTCCCCCCCCCCCCCCCCCCACACGTCCTTACTCCCCCGTCCACCCCCTCAACCCCCTCCTCCTCCTCCTCCTCCCTCCTCCTCCTCCTCCTCCTCCTCCTTCTCTCCCTCGCTCCTCCTTGCCCTTCTCCACCGATCCTCTTCCGCCAGTCCCTTCCTCGTCCTCATCATCCTCCCCAATCCCGACCACTTCATCAGGGCAAACGAACTCTTTCGCTCTAGTGGCCGCCGAACGCGGACCGTGTGGGCACCCCAACCGTCCCTGCCAAGCAAAAATCACAGTGGGCGTTGCGGCAAACACTGGACCATTCGCGGGCACCCCACCATCATTCTGCATGTGCAGAGCGGACGACGAGGGTCGTATCGCATTGCCCGATGCGCGCCGACCCGCCATCCCCGGCAAAGCACATGCGCTGTGGCCGAAGCTCTACACGCGCGATGTGCGATGCTGACCGCCCCCACCGCCACCTTGCGAGTGTTTCTGTCAGGGACTGCGGGTGTCGACGTGGTGCCTAACGTGACCAGCATGTGCTGCCACGCGCCCTCGCGTACCTGGGACGCCCTGCGCGCCTCGCGCACGTGGAGCACGCGGCGCACCCGGCGCGGCTGGCGCGCGCCGCGCACCTCGCAAGCAGGGCGCACCCTGGCGCCCGGGCTGGCTCCCGGTGGCTGTCCATCGAGAGGCGCCCGCAGCCCGTGCTGGGCCTCGAGTGCCACTCCAGGGTGGGTGGAAGCGGGCGAGATGGCCTGTGACGCTCGCCTCCGGGCCTGGACCCTACCACATCCTGTCCCTCCTCACCATCTCCCTTCTCCTCCTTCTCCCTCTCCGCTCCTTCTCCACCACTTCCTCTGCCTCCCGAGATCGATCCCGGGACACCGAGATTGTGAGGAAGTGTCGCGCCAAAAGCACTCAAAAGAGAGAGAGGGAGAGAGTAGAGAGCTGAGGCGAGCATGTTTGGCTTCGATCGAAACCTGGTTGTACCAGGAAGCTGGACACATCCACATCGCTGAAATCGTGTGAGCAACACGCAGAACTCGCGCGGTGAATACACGTGTTGAGGGCGGGTGCACCCAGCAATGCGAAGTCCGAGCGCTGGAAAGGCGCGCAGCCACGGGTGTATCCAGCTCCCGCCGAGGCCAACAGCACGAAGTGTACCCAGAATCATTGCACTGCGGCGAAATCTGATCCAGCGCGCATGCGTCTGCTACAAGGCCTCCTTAACTTCCTGGTTCGCTGCTGCGCCGCTGGCAACTCACAGGCCTCATTCGACGTGAACCAACAAGTGGCTCCCATCTGTTAGGCGCCTGTTCCATACACCGTGCGCTGGGTCAAGCACGCGTGACGGAAACTGTTCAGCGTCGCTCTTCTTAGTCAGGGAGAGGAGCGTGTATGTCTGCGCACGCGCGGATGGCCTGGCCAGCTGACCTGAATGACATAGCTGTCGGCGATGGAACGCTCGACTGCCTCTCATCATCCACATCTTCTGCATCTTCGGCATCCTCGGTCTCATCCTTCGCGCGGGAGGGGGGAGAATAAGACTCCGTTGTGCTACCGTGAAGCCCGTGGCAACAACGGCAAAGGACAGGGCACGAAAGGTATATCAGCACAGCATGGGCGCCCCAGTCGACGATCTAGTAATGAAGCACAGCAGCTAGCTCAGAAGCACAGATCGAATAAGCATGCGATACCAATGTAGCACTCCAGTCGGGCTGGCATGCATGCCACCTTGGGTCTCGTGTGAGCAGATGGCGAATGGTCCAACGACCCAGCTGCCCGACACACCCCAGGCACATCATAGACGACCAACTGCATGTTGATATGAAAGCCAACGCACGCGCGCCAATCTTCATACAAGCTGACACACCCCGCCCAGCCTCACCCCTTGTCTTGCTCCACCTGGTCTTCATCCTGCCCCCCCCCCCCCCTGATCCTCCTACTCCTCCCCGCAGCTCCCTCCTCCCGCGCCCTCCTCCGCATCATCCTCCCTTCTCTTCCTCCACCTTTGTCCTCGTACACCCATCTCCCCCACTCATCCCTCCTCGTCATCCACATCCGTCGTCTCGCACCAGCCTCGTCATGCGCATCTTCCCCGCTGATCATCCGCCCCGCTCTCCCCCTCCTCCTCATTCTCCTCCTCTTCCTCCTGATCCTCCTGATTGCTACTCCTCCTCCTCCTCCTCCTCCTAATCCCTGTGTTGTCTCCTATTTCCCCTCCTCCTCAACCAGTCTGCCTGCTTCCGCTCTTTCGCCTTTCTCCCTCCTCGCATCTCCCCCCCCATACCCCTCACCCGCCCCCAACAAATTCCGCAGGCAATGCCGGCGCAATGAAAACTTAATCCTGTTACTAAGTAATTGGCTGGCGTTTCCGGGTGCTCGTCTCTTGACCACCCTTCACGTTGGCAAGCCTTTACGGGCTTTCGCAAAGTACCCATGTCGTGCCTACTTCGTCCGCCTGCTCGCGCGCTGCAGACATTATACCAGCATGCATTCTCTGTGAGACTCCACCACCCTCTCGAGCCCCGACTTATCGATCCCCCCTAGGACGCTGCAACTCACATGCTATGCCGCCCGAGCGCTCATTGGCCGTAAGAAATCAGACCGCTCCAACCCGGTTGGCATCGCTCCCTCATATTTGTAAAATGGAACAACGCGGGCACTTTCGGCTATGTCAAAATACCATGTTGCGGGAGCGCATTTTCAACACAACGCCAACCACAACACACACACACACAAGAACAAAGCCCACACGTGCGAGCACGTGTCGAAAAACCAAATAAACATACAAGCGCAATACGCATCATTCGAAATGCATGCAAACAAACATTTCAACGCGCAAGAATTTCGTCATACTTTTCACCTAAAACACGGACCAGCCTGCAAGCATTTCGGCACACAGACATTAAAACAGTTAGGCGCTTCAGCTACAAAAGCGTGGGCAATTGGTGACATCACAAAGACCCATATGTGTTGAACGATATCGCGCAGAGTCCGCCGTTTCATCTTACCACGCGGCGCATTTGCGTCCACCAGGGATGCACACAGTGCACGAAGCCGCACGACATATCACCATGCGGACGACACGCGCATGCCGCCACGCGCGCGTGCCAAAATCCTTCCGAAACCGTTGGTTCCTCAAGGAATTCGGGATGTAGCTCTTCAGTAAGAGATAGCCACGAAACGCTCATCAACATAACCCTGTCGGATACATTGGGCTTGCGCGCACTTCCTTACCATCACCCTCATCAATGCCATCTCCGTCCATCATCCGGCAATCCCTGTCATCACCGACACATGGACATCATCATCGTCATCGCCGCCACCATCATCGGAAAATTCAATGGCCTCGCCGCCGTCATCGTCATCATGGCCACCATGAACGCCACTGTCATCATCGTTGCCGCGGTTGTCGAAATCATCATGATATCACGCCCGCCCGAGCCACCGAACCGCACTAAAATGCTCGCGCGCCAGCGCGGCCTTTGAACCGCGCTGGGAGGTTTCCATCGGTAAGCGCCATCGCGGCCGCAACGGCCGTGCCAAGCCAGCTGGCCACTCTTGTCGCGAGCTTGCGCGCGCCAAATCGGCCGCACAAATGCGCCTGCCGCGGCCGAGCAGCTACCGCAATTGCAGCCAGATGGGTTTTGCAACATGAGGTGCAGGTGAGAGGGGGCATGATTGCGCGAGCCGTGGAGTTGACAATTCGCGAGCCGATAGCACGAACACGAAGTGAACTACATCGCTTGCACGCTTGCACCGCATACATTTCAACAAACAGTTTGCGCCGCACAACCTGCAACCCGCGTTCTACGGCACATCACAGGTTGTACCACACAACACATATTACCGACGCAGTATAAGACTCGGCCCCTCTGCCGGGGCCCGAGGTGTCCGCTCCACTCCGCATGTTGTGTGATCACACGTTTCTGCACCATCGCCCACTGCAAACAGCAAACAATACCTTTCCAGCTGGCACGATATCCGCCGCCGCCCACCCCCCCTTCGCCCCTGCGAAAACAAACCATGCAGTTCACACCCGCCTGTATCAGCTAGCACCATGCGCACCACACACGCGCACATGTTACAATCCGTCCAACTCCATTGGTTTTCGAGTGTGTCCAGCGTTCAGAAAACAATAGGGGGCCACATGCGAACCCTACCCCTACCCCCCAAAAAATCGAGCGGAGGGTGGGATTCACTTCGCTCAGAAATCATGGGGAGTAGGGGTAGGGTTCGCATGTGGCCCCCCAAAACAACCAAAAGCGTACTCCGACTGAGAAATGCCTGGCGCCCGTGCGCGCACTCGCCGACATCAAACCAACACACCCTGCGTTCCCGGCTCTGCCAAAAGAGAGACCGGGCGGACCGCGCGCACGAGGAGGTTGAGATCTCTGAACAAGCATCGCGCACCTCCCAACTTTCTCCAAGAATACAGTGCTGCCCAAACAAACGCGTCCCCGCGCACGGGGGACGACCTCCTTCCAGGAGAATAATGTTTCTGAGCATTTCAACACAGAGAACTTCCACTGCTAGGGATGCCAGCCAGCATCCTCAGACTGCTGCGAGCGCCCACGCCCTCACAGCCCTCACCAGCGCCAGCGTGATCATCATCGCTAGGGTCGTCATCATCACCATAATCTCCATCATCATCACCATCGTCGCTGACATCCCAATCGCCGTCATCAACATCATCGTCATCGTCATCGTCGTCGTCGCCCTCGTCATCAACGCTACCATCAGCATCACCACCGCGCCCGCACGAATGATGGATCTGCATGGGAGGGGTCCGTGCGTCGCTATACCATTTAAACTTTGCTTACAAGTTGTTGTTTGGTGGGTGGGATACTTGATGGAGAATTGGGGTCGGCAACGAGCGTTGGAGTCGACGACGTCAAATTTTCAAAATGAAATGGACCACATAGATTGCACGAAATGGCTTACATGGCAACGACTGCGCCCCATAGGTTGCACAGCACATGTTGCACCACACAGGCTACATCGCTCTTATGTCACGAGATAAAATGCTCGATTGGAGCAGGCCCAAGATGAGCTGACACACGGATGCCAACGCCTGTTCAACGACAAGGACGGGCATCCCACCTTGCAACGCCCCAGAATCCAGAGAGCCGCATCAAGGCACTGTGGCGGTGTTGGGCGTGCTGGCCGAAGCCGCAGGGGCATAGTGACGGCGGCCGGGGAACCGCTGTCTCACCCAAGCTCCTACAAGGCGTGCGGGAGCAGGCAGGGGGGAGGAGTGGAAAAAAGAGAGAACTTTTACCTTGTTAGGTTTGGGGTGCCGCGCCTGCAACAGCTGTATGAACGACGCGAGGCCGTCCAAGCAGGCCATAACTGAGCTGACACTCGGATGCCAACGCTTGTTCATCGACAGGTGTGAGCACCCCAGCACGAACCTCACACGAGAGCCGCATGAAGGCACTGTGGCGGTGCAGTGGGCGTGCTGGCCGAAGCCGCGGGGACGAGGTGACGGCGGCCGAGGAATGGCTATCTCACCCAAGTCTGTCCCAGGCAGGAGCGTGGGAGGAGAAAAGGGGACTGAAGGGGGCAAGTAACACTGCGTAGCCGTCCATGAAGGAGGCTTCCCGCAAGAATCCGCGTTACGGCGGTAACGGTGTGATCGGAACTGTATGGTTAGACGGAGGTGGTAGAAAGAGATCGTTTCTCGCTTGATGCCCAGCTACACATTGCCCACATGGCGATGCATTGGGAAATGAGGGCATACGCGCACGCGCTCGCACAGGATTGAGCCCGTGCGGACGCTACTGGGTCGAGACCCGTGCTCATGTTGCGAGAAGATGGTGCGTTTTTTTTTACGTTATCCGAACATGCTAGGCGAGGTTAGCCTGCACCGCATGTTTACCCGGAGCTCGAACACATGACATATATAAACATATAGAATACCGCCGCGCGGAGATAGCCTTGCCACGGGCAGAAAGAGGGGCCGAGACAAGAAGCGCCATTATCCTCACCAATCGAGCGTGGAGAGGTGGATCTACCCACGTCGCTGCGGCCGAGTGACATTTTCGGCCTCGCTCGCAGGACAGCCTCCTTATCAGCCGTTTGCTGTTCAAATCTGCACCAGTATCGGTTAGTGTGCGATGCAATACATGCAAGTGATACTGCAGATGAGCAGACCTGCAGATGCTTCTGGGTGCACTCACGGCCCAAGCTCCAGTGACCATGCGCCTGTGGAGTGAGGGGCGCCGCGCTTGCAACGGCTGTATGAAAGACACGAGGCCGTCCAAGCAGGCAAAAGATGAGCTAACACACGGATGCCAACGCCTGTTTATTGACACGGGCATCCCAGCTCGCACCTCGCCATACGGTGGGGGCATTTTTATCCTATAACCCTGGGGCTTGCCATGCACAATCAAATTCGGACGCCGTCTTACGGCCCCACAAACAGAGCTTGCACGGGCCCGCAGCCGACCAGGCCCAGACCCCGAAGCGCGACCGTCACTCCGCGCTCAGGCCGAACACTGGCCTGGGGTCCGCC